TCTCGAATAACTTTGAACAGAGTAGAATCGCAATCGAGGTTCTTGATTGCTGATATGATTTTTCTTCTAGCTCAACTGTCAAGCATGTGAGCTCATGCACAGTTCTAGTTTCTAGAGTTTTGAGTTCTGTACACCTCAAACATGAAATTGATATCGAATTTCGTCCCTGCTACGAATACTTTTGCTTGTTTATCGCGTTTTATAGAAGTTGATAGAACCAGCATGATACTTGCTGAGCTCAACGTCAATCATCTGAAGAAGTTGCCTTTTTCGAAGTTGCTTGCAAGTAAAGGGAAATTGTGCGGTATACATGACTTAAGAAATAATTCTGATGCTAAATGCTAGATAATAGTGATTCGTGACTTCAGATGAAGATCTGGTGTACTCCTTACATGTAAACTCAAGTACTTGATGTATTTATTGAAATGAAACAAGTCATATTGTCACTTTTGCACTTCTGTGCTATGTGTCATATGAAAGAAATAAAGCGCATTGCTCAATTGATAAACTCGTTGAAACGAAAACATGTTGTTTCATATCCTTGTCTCTCTTTTCTGCTTAACGCATATTCAATTATTATTATTTTACAATATTTAAGATTGTGATTCAATAACTTTTTATTGGATGAGTAGTCTAATTTGCAAATTTATTTGATGATACTTCCCATCTCATAAACCAAATCTCTAAATTATGGTTACAAAAAATATATTAATCATTAAAAATGAAGATATTACATTATTCTTGCGATATCTTATCTGCTTTAGAGATTTTGACTACAATTTTTCAGCTTTTTCAGTTGTTGTTAATATTTGGCGTTTTGATTCTTAGGCATTTTTGTATAGAGCCATCATCACGATTGACGCAACTAACTTATGCTTAAATCTTACAACTCTACTAATGAGAATTAATGGTAGATGTTTACAACTTTATTACTAAAGTTGCAACTAGGAGGTGATCAGAGCGTAGTTAGCGTTTTTAGAGGTCTATATCAACAAAGCTACACACACCAAAACTCTTGATGCATTTTCTATTCAAGTTGAATTCACTTTAAAGAGATGAAAAGTTAATAAAAATATCATTTGATAACCCTTACTTATGGAAAATTCTCTATTGTGTCCCTCATTCACGTGAAATGAGTATCCAAACATTAGAACAAGATATGTTATCTCGGTAGATTTAAAACACCTCTAGTCAAAAGTTACCTGTCATGTTCTTTTATTACTTATTTTTTCAATGCTCTTTGGTTCATTTGTTGAATATATTCACCGTTAGGAAAACTCGACTGAAGTATTGCACGTGGTACGCAACTATAGCATTTGCATGGTTACTTTAAGCTCTTATTCAATGGCTACAGAGTCAACAAAAGAAATTATATGGTAAAATAGATTTATCACAAAGATGAAATTAAAATTGAAACTTTTTGTCTCCATTGTGATAGTCAAAATGTGTAAGATATTGTTGCAAATAAAATGATAGCAAATAGAATGAACTCATTGATATCAAGTATCACTTTATTAGAGATGTAATGTTTGATAAAAATATTGAACTAGTTTAAGTTCACTTCAATTTAGATGCATTGATCAAAGTTTTTACTTTGGATATTTTTTTAAGACATTGGATTACTATGTAAGTTCTGCATGAGGAGCACAATTAGATTTTATTAGCAACTTTTATTAACTCTATATGTTTTTATTCTATTTTTTTTTTACTACGGCTTGGTTGTAATTAGCTCTATTGTAAAGAATTATCTATATTAGGTTTGATCTAAAACTTTATAGTCAATAATTATATAGGTTATGAAGTTTATTATTGTCACAACATGCGGTAAGAGAAGATTGTTAGCATTTAACTTGAATTGAAATTAGGTTTAGGTTCTCATATGTAAAGTTTTCTTGATAGCAACAGATTATTTTTTGCTAGGGCTTCAAGACGACGACAACCATTCATCCGCCGATATCAATCTCACGCCATTCAAACCTCAAACGGAAATAGATGTTTTTTTGCCACAACCCTTTCTGGTCATTAGGGTTTTTTGGACCCTACCGTGATTTTATGATGCCTTCTTTCCGCAATTCAGAACCAAAGCCCTAACAAAAACATCTCAAGTCAGTTTTAATACTTTGTACAAACTTAGTGTAGGATATTGACTTCTTAATTTCCTTTAGCTTTCATCTAAGTTCTGTAGTCTGTTGCATTTATTGCAACGGCTGAGATCACCCTTCCAAATGTTATTTATATGGAGTTTGGCAGTGTGCTTAAAGTCATTCTTCGTTTTAAACTTTTCACTTGACAACCATGCTTCTTAGACTTATTCGTCCAAACTGAGCTTCCTTACATTATGATGTCCTGGAAAGATATGTTTTGTCTATCTAGGGTTACTTTCACAAGGTTAATAAGATTCTTATCCAAAACCTACATAGTGTTCAATCCAAGATGGTTTACACATACATACAAGGTAACAATCCTATAAGTAAATATATATATACATAAACCCTAGATCTAACTCTAAGTAGGTCTAGGAAAGCCTAACATATGGGAGAAGACTTTTCATATTTAGAAGAATAAATTTTTCAAAACTAGACTATAAACTTAAAGATATGCTTTATGCAATAAACATTTATTATATGCATGAAATTCATTTGATAATTAATTTTATTTCTTTCACTATATGAAACATACATTTATGAATATGATGTGAACTTAATCAAAATTGCTTTTATAAATTTTGGTATAACTTATGAAAGCTTAAAACTATCTTTTTTAATCCATGTGATAAATATTAAACGACAACTTACTAATCAAAATTAACACAAAATCAATCAATGAAATAAGTAATTTTATATTATATTGAAAAATAATTATGTTGATATGTATAATAAAAATTATGAGCAGTTTCATGAATGCATTTCAAAAAAATTTAAGCTAAAAAATAAACTATTGATATTGAGTAGATTTAGAGGAAAAAGTTATACTATAATCAATATTGGATTTATTTTTCAAAAAATTGAAATTATTTAAAAAAATATTACAGAATTTTTATATAGTATTATGTCATTATCTTATTTTATGTAAAATTTTTTATCAATTGCAATAAATCATTCTCTACAAATTTATGTGTATATTAAACCTACTGAATTTTTACATGGATGCTGTGATATACATATACATATGCTACATCATTGTGTTGAATACTAAGATTTTGATAAGATTTGTGATAAAAAATTCTTCATCTCAATGATTTTTTGAAACGGTTAGCTTTAGTCACTATATTTATTTGATATTTTTGTAATTAAATAAAATTTAGATTTGGCTAATAAAACTATGAGCTTTCATAATCAAATTAAATATATATTTTTTCAATAATATTTTTATCGTGTTGTATCATAATTATTTTGACACAAGGATGATATAAATCATTATTTAATATGTTGATATATTGATATAATTTTGAAAAAATAGGGAAAAAAATTCTGTTGAGAATGGGATTTAATAATGAAATTTTATTTCCAAAAATTGATTTTTTTACAAATTTAATTTTATTTAATTTTGAGCTTAATCATGATAGCATTGATGTGAACTTAAAAATAGTTAGGAATTTTAAAATAAAACTTTTACAGTCAATGATTCACTTATACTAAATATTTTGTTTTTTTATTAATATCACATTGAGTTTAAATAATTAAGTCATTTTGATAAAACTTTTATGTAAATCTTTAACAAAACTTTGAAGTAAATTTTTTATTATTCTTGAAAATGAACATTTAAGATTTGAAACTTAATATTCATTATAAAAAAATCTAATATATAAATATAAAATTGATTTAAATAAAATTTTAGTTTTAGATTTTGAGTCATTTGATTTGTTTTGATCATTTTGAAAGGCCCGAGCATCAAGATCAATAACCACGCATGATAGTTACAACATCAAGATAATGTGGTTCATCTTTCATAGTCTAGATTACAAATTTCACCAAAGCATAGGTGTATCCACGGACTCCATAGCCAAGCTCTCCTCTTCTTGCTCACTCTCTAAGTGCATGCCTGAACTGTATGTAGTGAATGTCTCTTAATCTTTTCTATACAAGAAGAGATAAGTTGTATATCTTAGCTAATCTAACCACAATAACTTTCTTAACCATGGTTATCACTAACTGGAATTAATCCAACATAGGTTCTAGATAGAACTAAATTTCTACATCATGATAATAACGCAAAATTGAAAGTATGATTTTGATTGTGTGATAAAGTGTGAAACGATGATGATGCAAGGATACAGATATACATTGAAATGATAGAAAAATGAAAACCAAACAAGCTAGATGTGTTTCAGACAATTATCAAAATTCAATCTACATACATCATGATTACAAATGTCATCTGCTTATAAAAATTGCGGATTCCTTCTCCTCAGATTACTGCATATTAATCATTTTAGGATGTGCTTCATTTTCTCATTGAGTATCGTAAATCTGATGCAATTGTATCTTCTCCATATGCAAAGTTGACTGGTGAATTGAAAAATCAGTAGCCAAGTTGACTGCAAGTGAGACATTCAGTACAACTTTCGACTTTCAACCTATGAGATTCCAAAGTTGTTTGTTGCATCTCTTTTACTTATAGAATTGTACAGCCCCTGATAATAATATTAGTAGTGTATTTCTTCACCATTCAAGGCCTGCAGCCAATATTCATCCGCATCCCTAAGAACAAGGCTTTTCTGTGCAAGGCTATATCAAACCCCATACGAAGGATTGTGAATCTTCGACCAGCCATTGGCCATTATCGTAATCACTGTATGCATAAGCACATCTACTTCCATGGGCTGAAATCTCCCCTTGCAAATTCCAGCTGCCTATGTTTTTATTTGGTGAATACTGGAATATACTCTTCATGAAACATAAGTGAACATAAGTCTGCCTACGCCAATTCATAACAAGAGTACTTTTTATCTATTTGATGCTTATAGATAAGAACAAGGGCGGATACATTGATGGCTGCCCTAAATTGTCATCTGGTTTTGAATGTTAATAGATGGAGGAGCCAATTGAGACAAAATAATCGGCCTAGCCCCATGTAACATAATTTCGTAGTAGTCATCTCAATTGGGTTTGATGGAATCCGCTATATCACTCGCTCCCCCTGTTTTTCTCTAATCTTCAGAAGGAAAGAGAAAGTGGACCCAGATGGGTATACATTACAGTTAGAGGCATTTTAATTAGGATATAATTATATATTATTTCAAAAAGTGCAGCATCGGTTTCATGGTGTAGTGGTTATCACGTCTGCTTTACACGCAGAAGGCCGCGAGTTCGAACCTCGCTGAAACCTCTTTGCTTCCCATTTGAAATTCACTCTCAACAATTATGTTCACAAGCTCAAAAATTCTTTGACTGGCATTGATTTGGCTACGTTGGCCATGACCGGAACCATAACAATGGCCAACAATAAACGAATATCGTTTTACCATGCGGTCATGTGATATACACTGAAATCCAGAGAAAATTCCAAAGGTAGAACCTGCTGAGGGGATGATACAGTTCCGAGAGTGAACAATAATGAGAAGCAGAGGTTTGCTTCAGGCTGTCCTCTCGCGTGGTCTCCCATCTTTTTAAAGGCTCGAGAACGCCCGTCAGATCTGTGAAACATGTCTTTCGTTCCACCGTCATGATTCCACCTAGTGGTGCTAATGAAATGTTCATTCTACTACCTGCGTCTGATTGCTGCCAGGACGAAGATATACAATGAGTTTTATTGCTTCTCACAAAAAAGCACTAACATTCCGAGTGCTCACCAGAATTATTCCCTTACTCTATATGCAGTGAACACATGTAGACCACTACATAATTATGTTCAAACTTGTGATTAAAACCGAAAAAATTTGGACACCACATTAATTCGATTGGTTTCATGGTGTAGTGGTTATCACGTCTGCTTTACACGCAGAAGGCCGCGAGTTCGAGCCTCGCTGAAACCTGTTTCGTCTTTTTGAAATTCATTCCCGGATAAAAATAGTGTTCACAATCTCAAAGATGTTTTGACTGGCTTTGATTTGGCTACAGTGGCCGTGACCGGTGCCATAACAATGGCCGACATTGAGCGATTATCGTTTTACCATGCTGTCTTCTGATATACACTGTAAATGCAAAGGCAGATCCAAAGGCAGAAACTGCTGAGGGGATGATACAGTTCCGATAGTGAGCAATAATGAGAAGAAGAGGTTTGCTTCAGGCTGATTTCTCGCGTGGTCTCCAGTCTTTTCCAAGTCTCGAGAACGTCCGTCAGATCTGTGAAAAATATACTTCGATACACCGTCATGATTCCACCCAGTGCTGCTAATACATTATTCAGTCTACTACTTGCGACGAAGACATACAATGAGTTTTATTGCTTCTCACAAAAAAGCACTAAAAATTCCAAATTTACACCATAATTAATCCCTAGGTGAACATCAGTGAACACATGTAGATCAAAACATAATTATGTTTTGATCTACATGTCTAATTTTGACATAGACCTGGCACCGGTCACCCACCCAGAGGCGTGATGTACCAACAATACAGCCATAAAACTCCGTAAGGCAAATTATGTAACACTTATGTAAGGCAAATTAGTAGAGCCGTAATATTTTAATATGTAGTGTTACCAGTAGGATCACAACTGGATATAATGTCAAATGACCCCCAAAACTTGTAAGACTCAAAATAATTCTCTACTATCAATTGTGAGTACACAAACCCTTCTCACCTTCTTATCGAAGGACATCACTCGCAGGCGAGCTGTGTCGATCCGGTTCATGATTTCATGTCCGTGTGGCCTGAAGTCCATCAGGAGAGATCGTCCTTTGCGTTGCGTTGTTTGCCTGGAGCCTCTGAGTTCCTGCCCTCCGGGTGCTTGATAGGAATGTTCAGATAGACCCATAAGCGAAGGGCGGCAGGTAGCACCGGGGGAGGTTTATTTTGTATACTCGAAGAAGAAGAAGCATACTTACCTGGGCGGGGCCTATCGCTGATCCTGAAGGGCGATGACCTACGACGAGCTCCTTCATTGCACTACGATCGGGCAAGTTGTAGCATTTCCCCAAGGGGAAAATGCACGTCATAATTTGTGGCAGAGGAGGGCTCGCGTTCGCGCGGCCCTCCACCAAATAACCAAATCAGCATTTGATTTTGAGTACTGCTATGACCTTGCGTCGATTAATGAAATAGCAATTTTTAATCTTGCATTCAATATACAGAGCCCAACAGATGTGTTTGAGCGGAGCTGATATCTTGCAGGTGAGGGCAAAGTATGAAGCTGTGTAGTTTTACAAATCGCGTGATGCTGAAGGTTTGAGTTCGCTTCGTGTTGTCGGCTCAAGCGCAACCTCCAGCAGCGAAAAGAATTTGTGTCTCTAGGCAGCCGGGCAGACACAGGCAGAATAAGGCTTTTGAAGTGTTGAGCTTGTTCAGTGTTGGATAGAATTGGGCCAATTTAATCAGTGATCCAAATGATCGTGAATCGTCTGGAATCGTCCCAAGAGTCGTCTCGAGAGCGAGCCTGTGTGCCAAATGTCTGAAGAAAGTGAAAGTGTAGAAGACGGAGGCAGAATGGAATGCCTGAAAGGTTGGGAAAGGTTGGAGGGTTCGAATCTATCGATACACTGCTGAAGGGGAATTCGGAGATGAATGAGATGAACTGAATGCTCTGAATTGAACTGGGTGAGCATCGTGTGTATGTGATGCGGTGACCCCCAACACGTCATTGTTGAAGGATGGAAACCACTTCCACCGGCGTAGGAATGGCAATTGTCACAGTCTGTAGAGAGGACAGCCTTCTCGATCTGCAAATGCAAGCAGATCATGACTAAGCACGACAACCAAAAGATTCTACGCCGTCGAGAAGCAAGCTGACATGTGCAAATTCGTGCAGAGGTGGAGATCTGGAAGCCGAATCGTGAGATCGATGATTCTGGCTGGTATCAGGAATATCAGAATCATCGAACTCCTCGTGAGCAGAGAACATTTCGCAACACGTCTGGCACACGCATCAGCACTTCACAGTCTGTCGGTGGATGCCATCGTCCGGCATCGTGTGAGTGAGACAAGCACGACGTCGTTGCGCTTGGCAGATGGATCAAATGGTGCACCGTTCCATTCTTTCGAGAGTGAAATGGTACGATGCAGCTGATTATAGTCCCTCTATTCCTCTACTAACACTTCCCGCCTCCTCCCTACATATTATCAACTGGGACATCGTTGGATCATCTCGCTTCCAATCTGCTAGCACCCTTTTAGTGTAAGTCACAGTCCCCGGGCCTTGTCTAGGTCTCCCTATCAATACAGTACATATACTTTCATCGTGGGTTGAGTCATCACATTTCAGCCAACCCATGAAGCATCATTTGGGTCTCAGTGGCGTAGAAACATTTTTGTACATCTGATTACATTGTTATTACAATGGCAGACTCTTCGTCCTTCGTGGGTAGCCCCCGATGAAGATTCATCCATCGGGTAGCGGTGACGATGAAGTGTATATTTCTCAAAGTTGCCCTTCCCCACTTCTTGATTGCGTGCTCCTTGCTATCATGTTTCTCGATTTCTTTTTCCAAGTTTCCTAAGTAAGGGGCCTTCTGGATATTGATGATAACATGAAACTGTACATCTTGTGAATCTTCAAATCAATTTCAGTCATAAGAATCAGTCATAGTTGCCACGGATACAAAAAAGTAGCCGTCGGAAGGAAACATCCATTCCACAACAGGATCGAAACTTCATGATTTGGAGAGATACAGAGAAAACTCGTCTGCATTCAGAAAACTTGAAACGCTTTGAACAAATTGTGCTGAAATTTACTGGCAAGAATATATCGCAACCTTACCAAAAGATATTCCTAAGTCCTTGACCACATGTGGAGAAGCTTGTATTAGAAGCTTGGAATCTTTACTTCGATCTGATTAGATTGTGACATATTTTCTTACAAGATTCGGCAGTGTGAAACAGCTCTGTGAAGAATAATGGGACGGAGAAAATTTGGAAACTCTTCGCCCTCAACCGTACACCTGTTAAAAACAGTTGCAACCTACGTAAACCTACAACTACCTTTCCACATCCACGTATCTAAGACCATATCATCGTCGAGAGAGTATTAAACTCCTCAGCAACCTAAATAATTAACCAAATGAGAGAAGCATAATAGTTTGCTGCGTAAAGACCTACAAAATCACGTTTTACAGAATCTGACATGCTTCAGAGGCACGTCACCAACAATCTATCGCTCTCTGGGCTACGACGAAATTGCAGAGCATTAGCCATCATGTATCCCTCTTCCAACGAGCCTCCTAGGTAACAATGTCGAGAATACGATAACCCTCGAATATGTGATCAATGCAGCTCCCCAACAGGTGCCTCGCTGAGCCACAAGAAGTGTATGAAATCGTACAGCTGTCCACTAACGCTGACCTGGAAATTTTGCACCACTAGAATGTCATTAAACATATCAGAGCTTAAAAAGAAGCTCGTTATACTCTACGCATTCAACTGCGCTGAAAAGATAAACTGAGCATAGACGCGCTTAAGAACATTGAGAATTCATCTACCTTGTAAGGAGTGGGATTTAAGCCACGCATATGATCGGTACGCTGTGCAGCCAACTCTTCCTGACAGTGCCTTCTTAGCTTCTCCAGTGGAGGCAATGGCTCTCTAGGTTGTCCTGCATTGCACGACTTTACGACTCAGGAAGCCAGAAACAGGTTAACAACACCCAACCATGCAATTCTCATTCAAATGCACGTAGGTCTGAAGAGGCAAAATATTTCACGTTGGGATCAAATACATACAATACTAAGTCTGAATATGACATCTTTACAGAGGAAGACCACCAGTGGATTTATAAGGTTAAAAGTGATCCAGACCAGATGTTCCACTCCAGTAGCATTTGTAAAGAGATTCCACTCGTTGCGGAATCACATAAGCCCTTTTTGATTCACTAAATGGATGTCGACAGAGAATACGCTCTCCCGCCTGCAGTAAAATAAAAAAGTTTTGTTAAGAAGAAAGAAACAAAAAGATTCACTGCTACAAGCTCGTATTGTTGGAATAGGTGTAAAAGAACTTGCCTTTGGTACGGGCTCATCGTCTCCGACCATTAAATCAACCAACGCATATCCCCCCTTTCCATAAAGACGATAGCACTGCTTCTTGCATGGTATGGTAACCTGCTCAAATCGAGGATCGAAGTAAGTGATGTGCACCGTAGAGCCAGGCACATACTAAGCAACATTTATGGCAGAGAAGGAAAGACAAACGATCAGCAGAATCAGATGTAGAGAGAGAGCTTCATCAAACCTTGGCTACATCCTCGGAAAGCTTGATACGTGGCTGACCGTTGATTTCGACTAATTTGTACACGCAACCTAAAGCTGGTTGTTGATAACAAGTAATCAAATGGGTTCCGATTCCGAAAGCATCTATCTCATGTCCCTGTACATGAAGCAAATTTATCAACATGTGAATAAGAGAGCGGCCATAGGCATTGATACAAGGTTCTTATTGATGTTGCCATAAAAGAGAACTTTGAGTGGTGATTGTGTTTTCGATAACTAGGTCGGAACTAGCGCCCTTATTCCACTTAATGTTTAACTAGACTGAAAGCTAAAAGAGCCAAATAAACAAAACCCCAAAAAAAAAAACAGACGGACCCGACAAGCCAATATGAATTCCAACGTAGTGAAAGACGTGCTTCGTCTGAAGAGCACTATGATGAAGAACTCAAATGATTCACACTATATTCACATCCTACTAACAATAAATTACAGAAGAAATGATTTTTGGCCTATAATTTTATAATTCGTACGATATCTCAGGCAAGAACGCATGATTCATGGCTCATACAGGGTAATTGAAACTCTTCGAGGAGAGGTCCTGCTGACTCACATCCAACATGCACAGAACCTTAAATACAAAATTACCTGTTTATTCAGTGCATCAAGCGTGTCTTCATTGATATCATTACTAGCCGTTATTATCAAATTTCCGAACCCTTCAACTCCGAACTCTTTCTCAATCACCTTGAAGAATTTACGGGTCTGTACTGAGAAATAAGAAAGGTCTCCCGAATCCAGACGTATACCGACAGATTTGTACCTAAGTTCAAAAATTCAAATATTTGGAAGACATTACCTCATATCAGAGAAACTGTACTCATCAGCATTACGTGTCATAGCCAGTCACATGAGAGAAGGCGAAGAAGGATCAGCGACTCCTTTCCAAAAGATTCAAACTCAACCATCCAAGTATTAAGCGTAATCTTTATCTGATGGACGAAAGTCATACAATTTTCATACATTGAGCAACAAACATACGGTCAAAGCGCACTGCATACGAGACATACCCCAGTTCGTGGAGTGCAAGAGCGACGGCACAAAAGTTGGGTATTCCACTTTTCAGAACCTGCAGGACCAGCTTCCACGTACAGCAATGAGACATCCCATCAAAAAGAGGAATATCAAGTAGAAGATCGTTCTCTCAAAAAATTTCGCATGCCAACCCACAGTTCCACATCAGGCTGTTTTCTCATTTATGTATTTCTTATTGAGATTGTTGGCATTAAAAAAAATTAACGCAAAGATCGATTACTAACTCGATCGATACATGCACTAAATAACACGCAATAGCAGGTGACGCGGTGAGCTGATTCTTATATAAAACACGGTTAAGTTACAAGGTTACTACTCACGTCATACGTGTCGACAAGAGCTTGAAACGCAGTAGGGAATGCTAGCGCGTATGATATGAAAGCTGCCAACTCACTATGATTCGTCTCGGCAAACCATTTTTGCAGTGATTGCACTTCCTGCATACATATCAAATTAAACATCTCAATGCGAGTCGAATCGATACTACTCGACGTATGACAACTGTGGTACCCAAACCGTCAACTACTTAATACAAATTGCCAGAACCAATCTACTAATTTAAGTGGACACGGCTCATTAAATAATCTACCTGGTTACATATTTACCTAAACATGTGAACAGAGTGAAGATTGGTCGATTGACGGGAACGGAAAAGACTTAGAAGGCTACATGTGTGAGCAACACGGATCTGTAGACAAATTACCTTCATGCGATTCAAGTACTGCATCGTAAGGAGCACAAAATCCTTGCATACGTCGGAGCTATTGTTGTTGTACTCTAAATATCTTTTGGTGATCTCATCAAAACTCTGCATGTTTGAAACAAGTCAAATTATATCACATGACACTGAGCAGATCAAAAGTCTACACACCACGGGAATTGACAGATTATTAGTTTGTTGAATAGTGGCCATACATGTAACCCTCGTTCCTTCGCAACATTCTTTAAGTCAAAGTCACTAGCTTGAATAAAGCTGAGGTGAGGCAGCGACAACCATAGCTAATTTCTTGCTTTACTCTTTCTCGTTTCATCAGTTTTGCAGCACCGTCCATTCCGGGCAAGAGGTTTTCGGCCGAAAGGCTAGGAAAGGCGGTGCTTATTAGGAACAATTTTTCTCCTTTCTCTCGAAATACTGGAGGACAAGAGCTGGCTGTCTGAGGAGAGATGGAAATCGGGTCAAATTAGATACTTGGCTTACATAGCAGTAAGGCTACTTAAGGATTGATTATAGAACAAAACAAACCTAGAGAAAGGTAGAACTTCACTTACCATGAAGGAACTCACAAAAGCATGTGAGTGTGTCCCACGTACTGGAATACCAAACCTTTGTCCAGCATCAATATTGCTGAAATATGTAACAAACAATGATGGAGTTACTTGCAGAATGGCAAAACTGGACAAAGAAGGACTTTCGTCTAACTAACTTAATCGTCTTTGTCTGTTCTTTCCTCTGCCCCCTGTTAACAAGCTGCACGTAAGTCAACTGAAATTTGACAACCATTTAGTTCCTACCCCGCGGAAGCCTGGCAAACTGCAGAGGCCCTAGAATCAATTCTCATGTTCCGACCATGAGAAGATAAAACTCCGTCATATTGACATCAAAGATCAGAAAAGCATTAAGACAATGCAAAACCAGCAGTCAACAAGCATCTCAGCATCATTATTCCGGCAAAAGATTTCATTTAATTTGGTGAAGAATCTACCTGGTAGCATTAAATCCTCCTAAGTAGCAATACTTTGAACCACTAATTCCGCCATCGGGACCCTGCAGCGAAATAGAAACACATACCTCAGGATGTATGTCCGTGAAAATCAATATTCAACAACTTCGAAAGAATTTGAAAACATTATTAAAGTTAAGTGCCCGTGCCTGAGCTCTCCGAAGTCCAAATTCAAGCAAAATCTTATTCTTGCCCGCAACTCGCCTGTGCCTTGCAGCATTTGTAGCCACCAACGAGGCGTAGTTTACCAGAGTCAAAAAGGTAGTCTCCAGGAGCTGAGCGATCTGATTCAATTGGCAAGCAGATCTCCCACGACTATCAATTTTGACTTGAAAATATTTCACGCAAAAATTGACTTCCCAAAAACATGAAACATACGCGAAGAACAGTCAAAAGTTTTACTGCAGGCATGCTGGAGATTGAGCTTACTAGATCAACCCAAAATTTGTTCGACGAGCTTACCAGTAGGGGACCTTGGACCCTGATCAGAGGTACTCGTGGAAAACAAACCGATCCTTCCGGAATGGCGTTAATAACTACTTCAGAGCAGTCCACTCCTTTTAGGTAATCAAAGAAAGCTTCCTGCCAGCAAACGAGCCACCCTTACCAATGTAAGGCTTCCAGTCCCTTGCAGGGTTTCTGCCACGAAATCTAATCAACCCTTCGATCACGAGAACTTCTTCTTGTACACTTGTCCGATTCATGGTATACATAATGTTGACAGAAGGAGGAATATGACAAACCTCACACCGTGAAGGTAATATGGTCCGCAAATATGCAACATCCGAATCAGTGAAGCGAAAATTTGCCGCAAATCGAATACACTCTTCCAGACCTGCAAAAACTGTGTATTCTCCCCCAAAAGGATTTTTCCGATGTAAAAGGTCAAACCTGCAGACGATTTGAGGCTCAGACTTCCATCACCATTGAGAATTTCCAAGGTATCTAAGTCCAGTGACTAATTTCGGCAACTGCAGGCTTTGCGTACGCACGACAAGCAAAGCCTTAGTACCTCTGTCCAGAAGCATCACCATCCAGAGTTTTCATCAGATCAGATTCGAGGCAAATGCTATAAAGGGAGGGATAATTACACAGCAAGGTCGTTCTGCTTTCCAGCTTTCCAATAAGCATACGCCATCGTAATTTGATACATATCCGTCAAGAGTGCTGTAACGAGGGGATTAGTAGGTGGTGGAATGGGATTCTCAGCTCCGGATTTGCCATCAACTCCACCATTCATGGACAATCCTTCCACCTTGCGCGCATCAACCGGACTAGCGACACGCATTCCCTCCATCTTTGCTACCGAATTACCCAGCACTGTCCCATTAGAAGAAGTTTCCATCGAGAGAACTTTTCCGCGGGACACGAGATCTGAAGCCCCTCCGACGATTCCAAGCAGCTCAAATTTCCACAGCTCGTCTCCAAATAATCCCCATCAAAAACTCCTCAGCACTCAGCACCATCCAAACACAAATCGACACGCCTCAACTCGAGCACACCAGCGCAACGGTACCAATGAAATGAGCAAAACTCGCGCACCGTTCTCGAATCCTCTAAGCGTCCAACTCTGCCCGCTCCCGGCTTTCATGCCCTACCCTAAGAGACCGACCAAATCCGCAGCCCCAAGAACGCGCCGACCGAACGACGCTTCAATCCAATTCACAAATGCTCGCCACAGCAGCGCGCAAGAATCTCCATCTCCATCTCCATCTCCATCGCCTCGCCTCGCCTCGCCTCGCCTCAACTCGCCTCGCGCTGCAGCGTTCGAATTCGCGGTGTAGAAATTGGCCTTTTTCGGGGGGCCCCGCACCGATCACCAAGAAGCTCGACGGCCTTTGGCTCCGCTGGCGCAGGCGCTGGCGCTGGCAGCAGCTCGAATTCTCGAGCGCCCGGGCCCCGAATTTATCGACATTTTGCTAATCTCGTCCTTTGGGCTGCAGCCTGCGCCTCCCGCGCCTCCTTCTCTGGCGCTCCCCTCCCATCCCCTCCCCTCCTCTCCCGCGGCCGCTTCGTTACTAGAACAACATTCTCGCGTTGCCGCACGCGCCCTCCGCACAGGGACAGGCCCCGGCGCTACAAGAACCGGCGTCTCTTTTTTGTTTTATTAGGGAGGAGATGAGTGCGTGGCCACAGGCGTTCACGGTTGGTAGTGGGAGTGCGCGGCGTTCGTCCGCAGTTCGGTACCCACCGGCGGCCTTCGGTGGACGCCACCGGCTGCGGACTCGGAGCCGCGGGGATTGTTCTGAGCCGACGGGCTGGTGCAAGTGGGGAGAGGCGGGTGCGGGATGATGATCGCTCGGAACCTGCCGACGCAGTCCGTGGAGTTAACTCCGTCGGCCGTTAAGTGTGCTGATGTGCGACTGGGACTTTCCCGAGTTCCGAGTGCTGCCTGTGGCCGTACTGTCCTTTGCTTTGCGGCCCCCGCCGCCCACTCTCTACCGTTCCTGCGAGCGTAACTTTACTTTTCACTAGAGTGAAAGTAAAACGACGAGCCTCCCCATCGACGGCCCGTTTTGTATCATCTGCGCTTGATTGAAAATCACATTACATAATTCAGATGGTTGATATTTATTTTGCATGGATTAAATAACCGGAAAATATTATGTATGTTACAATAAAATTTTAAGGTATGCAATTCAAATCCGCTATCAATTTCCGAATAGTGTTTTTATAATGACCTATTTTTATAGTGCTTTCACCGTATGCTTTGTTCAGCCGTTTTCAATCTATAAGAAAAGAGTAATAAATACGCTATTAGATAATCAAGTATGTATATCACCAAAAATTGATTGAAATAAAAGTCATTCATGTCTTCAACTGGAGAACACGGATGACCGAGAAATATAGCGAAGAGTAAGAGAGTATCAACAAGAGTTGTACGTAAAAGGCCAAACAGGTAACATGGGACCTAGACCTTGAGCATCACAATCAATATCATGGCCTCATGCACATAAGATATCCAGACAATAAAGTCAAATATGAGTAGTTGTAAAACTAATCCCCTCAGGTGATTGTTCACCCATACATAACATAAGCTAAAGGATGATGTAGGATAACATCATTATTTATCATAAAACAGACTGTATAATAACCTAAAGAAAGTGATACACTGCCATATGGTACTGAAGTCTCTTTATTCCTGCACTCTTTCATATTAGGAGTTACATCTTTAACTCCATATAATTAAAAACTGCTACATTAAGAAATAAAATAACAATCAAAAAATCATAAATAAAAAAGCCTTAGATGTTGGTCTCCCGAGAAACACTCTATAGTAAGTTTGAACCGTGTTGTATATCTCAAATTTTCATAGACAACGAATTTGCTAGAAGTACCAACGACTTTTATATTCATTCATCCTCCTTAATAGCAATAACTGAAATGATCCCATTGTGAGAAACCCATTATCATTTACCATCAAAGAAGCAAATCTAAATTTTAATCTGCTTTCTTAAGATACAACCATCTCGACTGACTTCCTCAACTGCAAGAGAGTGGATTTTTCTGAAACTGATATCGAAACTGCTCCTACATCATCGCTCCCCGATACGCCCACCAATGATACATGCGAGTTGGGAACACGCAATGGTTTAAAAAATTTATCGATTTATCGATTAATATATCAATATTTTTATCTATTCTCGCGGATATGAACTCTGGTAGGAGCATATCTTCAGCTCTACCTTGCTATCAACTTGCACCATTGAGTCATTGACAAATTTCGATGGGTAATTTGTGTCCAAATAAAAGCAAAAAAAACTATAAGAATCGCCTCGTTCCATAAATGGCAATAAAGTAGCTGCGGAAGTCCATTAGGAAGGTATTGGGATCTGGCGCAAGTATAAGAATGTGGCGTATCGCCTTCTATTGTGTCAGAGAGCGTACGTCTCTTACACAAATTATGACCAACTAGAAGAATACTACCATTAAATGTGATGAAAAGCGAAATCGAATAAAAAATGGAGAGAGAGAGAGAGAAACCGCGAGTCGTAGCGCACTCAGTGCCTACGGGCACTGTGCGAGCTTTTCTGGTGGCAGAGGCCACGAACTGAAGGGAGTCCTATTGTCGTCTGCAGATACTTCCCAGTTGCCTCTGGCGTTCGAGAGTCCAGCATGTCTCCGGAGTCCCGCGTGCGATGTCGTACAGATTCTGTGGGACTTTGGTTGAAGACTATGGCGATCGATTTGTTCCTGCGTGTCGCTTTACACCTCCAACCCGGCCCCGTGTCCCATCGTCAGGTGACTCTAGGCTCCAAGTGACTACATGAACGAGTGTTCTCTGCCCAAGCAAGACAGAACCAGTCTACAGTCTCTTCCCTTTTGAAGAAAAGCACATTCTGTTGTAAATATCTAGCCACCAAAGTGAAACCACGATCTAGCTCCGGTCCGAAGAATAAAATAAAATAATAAAAAATGGCAATTAGCACGAGCCCGAACTGGAGTAAAAGCTTCCATTACGACTGGAAAAGGTACGAGTGTGAATCTACTGCGGCTCGCTAGAAACTTGTAACCTATGGAAATGTTGATTTACACCATACACAAAATGACACTTCTTCGAATGGACCCCACGGCTATGTATGTGGTTAAAGACCATATTCTGTACTTGGGAGATATTGTCATAAAAGTATATTAAAAAGACGAATTTGATGCAAGGCCCGACTGAGGGTAATCGGAGCTAAAGTATCCCTGCGATATAGTGAGGGCTGATCTTTATGGTCTTCTTGTAAGGCTCTTCTGAAAGAAAATTTATCCGAAAGTCCAACATTCTCGCAAAGAAAGCCTTTATCGTGTAAAAAGACCGTAAGGACTTCTTTCAGAGTCGTTGGTCTATAAATCTGACGTTTTCCACACCTTCAGACCGAAACACGCAACCCTTCACGAATGGAAGCCGGAAATCAAAACATTCGAAAGGTGACGCTCTTGGTCCAAGATGCAACCGCAGCTAACTTAGTAGGCTGCTAACTTAATAACCGAGGATCTGAGTCATGCCTCTCGAAAACGTTGACTTCTAATCCACCAACATGTCGCGGGTGGATTTCAAACCATCAGATGACAACTTCATTAGTTTCTGGAGTCGCATATTTTAGATGTGTGCTAATTCCAGGAATCCTTCGACACTTAACTTTTCAGCGTTTTAAATAAGTGTACTTTCGTGACGTGGTACCAGTGCACACCATTGTCAACGGTAAGCTCTATAGTAAGCGTCCTGGAAAATTGTATCCTTAAAACATTAAGAAGCATCCTAGCAAAATCTAACAATCCAGGACAGAACGTCCACTGCTACATAAGGTGGAGCCTGGCATGGTCTTCGGTAACAGTACAATGTTACAAACTAGTAAGCTTCACGTTCTTACTCTCTGAACAAGATACGAAGCTTGAAACTTAGAGATATTAACATAAGAGGGGCAATATTGCAAGTCTCCGCTTTTAACATGCATCACTACATAGAGCTTGGACACTGAGGAAAGTAGTGATCCCATCAAAAAGTTCGGATATATGCAAAAATAGAAAGAAGTAAATCTATCCACTATACAAAACAAAAGAAGGAAACGTATTTCGAAAATCTTCCTCTTCTCCTTCATTCTAGAGGCGCTGGTAAGCGCTCTCAAGACAACGAAAATGGTTGAGGCGTCGTGATTACAAGGCATGATGTCAGTGCTATTCAGATTAACTAAGTTTTTCTACTCGCAAATATACACAAAAGCCTCTCTAAGTCGGTGGTATTGTAATCTGTTCGTATTCTACAGACTTATGGATGGGAACTGCTCTACACTACATTTACGTATTATACATATGTTTTCTTTAGACAAAATGGATACAAATCCCAACACAGGCGGCAACACTTCTATAAGAATACATATGCATTTTTGTCAACAAAGAAGCTACTTCCAATACCAGCCAGTAAGCTAGAAGGGAGAAAAATGTTCCAAATCAGGATGAGATCCTCCTGGCGGTCGTCGAGGATCCCTGCAGCCAGCACACAGAGGTGGAGTCAACAAAGTTGACAAATTTGAACGTTTTTGGCAACCGAGAACTGCCTTGCAAGTTTAGATACAAATGGTTTTCATGACATACATATAGCTGCCAAATATTTGCCTCGAAAGAAACACGACCTACAACCCCTTTCAAAACTTGTGAAATATACTTATACTCACATTATAAATCTGTTTGGTTCAAAGCCTGGTACACCAGGAGGACCAAAAGGATCAAACCTCGCTCCGGGAGGCACTCCTCTGCAATTGCACAGGTTAATGAGTCCTTTAAAAGATGCAAATATGCTGATGAAATTCAGATTTCTATTGAACACTTGAAAACAGCTTCTACAAGATAACCAGGACTTGCATGTGTCCTACAATGTAAATGTGAGATATGTGCTACACCAATGAACTAGTACTACTTTCAATATCATGTGATATATGATGAGTCCCGTATATATGCATCAGTAGAACGGAAACATACGGAGGATTAGGGCCTCCCACAGGCGGCTGACCACCGATTCCCACACGGCCCCATCTTGGATCGTTAGGACCTGCAAGCGAGCAAGAGCATATTGTTCCGTTTTGTTACAGCCTTCACTTTTCGAGCACGTTCATTTGCAGCAGCAAACACAAGCCGATGCTGAGTGAAAACAAAAAGAGAAACCACAAACAAGTGCAATGGCACTTTATTGATCAGCAAATTACAAGGGAAGAAGCCAAGTGGAACCGAGGACAAAAATGTGACTTGTAAAAACTGAAACTCACCAACTAACATTGTTCCACCAACTCCAACTCCGACGTCTCTTCTGCACACGGGGAGCATATTAATGAACAGCATTCCGATAAAAGCCAATGCACGCTTTAACGTTAATAACCCAATCTCCTTAGTGTACATGGAGGAGATTGGTAACACATAAAGAAGAAAGTAATTTTTTTGCTTTACTTTTGAGTAAAGCAAAAAACTTTTTAAAAAGTAAAGACTCTCTAAGTGGTGTTTGATAGATACTAGTCAGCGATAACCTACGAAAAGACTAAGAAGAGAACTCCGACTGTAGGAACAGAAACACACGATGGAAACAAAGCAGAAACATGCCAAGTCCAAGGAATGAAGATTAATATAACTGTAAACAAGGAGAAATTGCGGCAACTGCAATATTTTGAAGCCTTATTGTGGCCACCACATTGCAATATGGAGTAAATGCATGCGAGTAAAAGTACAGCAACTAACAACATTCGTACAGTGAGCACCACGGCACACTGCTCTCCACTTACTTCATCAACGCCCAGAAAAAATATTCACATAAACATATACTCAAATGGAGCTTCAAATCGGAACCAATGGATGCGTTATTTGCGGACCCCGAAAATCAGCCAACACGTAAAAAGGCAACAGAAGAACACATCAAAACCACGTGTCCAGTAAAAGCAAAGCATAACAGAGTTGTACTGGAACCATATGTACGGGTAGAGGAGTGGAGGAGGTAAGCGCAATAAAAGGGGAGGCGGAAAGTTTTAAGAGTGGCGGGTCACCGTTGCGAAGGGTAAACTATCGCATGGGTGACCAGGACATGACTTCTATGTGAAAGTATGGAATTATGAGCAGAGAAGCAGGCGTGCATCAATCAACTACTTCACGAGAACTTCAAAAGTCCACTACAAATAAGATCACAATTGCAGAACAAATGAATAGTTGTAGGTAAGTTCTAAACCTACTGTGACAATCCACATGAAACTAATCAATGCAGGCATGACTCTAGGACTAAATCAACACTTAACACAGGCCAGCATTCTTCCCGCAGTTATCCACCGCTTAGTTTGGGTAAGTGATACTCCTTACGACCACGAATTGCCTTTAACGCTCCTGACTAATATCTGAAAACAGAGATTGCAATAAACAGATAATAGGTGACAAGGATGAGGAGGAGAACCTGGGCGCAAAAATGCCAGCTCCAAGCCCGGGCAAGAGATCATTTCCACCATATGCTGGAATCTCAGGGTATTGGAACCTACAAATCCAAGTGTGCACCACTTCAGCCGAGGTTGATATGTTATCATATGACAGCTATTATCTTGCTCTAAATCATGAAACACTCAAATTGGGAAAACTATACGAAGATTCAACCGCGAGAAAAAAACGTGCTAAGAAGCCTGCTATGAGCCTTGAGACATCAAAACTAGCTTCACATCCATCCAAGTCAAACAACTAAAGCCAGCGACAGAGTTCTACAACTCACCCTCCGGGGCGTGGTGGATCTTCTAGAATGCTTATTCTCGGAGGAGGCCTAACTTCTCTCTCCCTTTCAGGCTGCCTGTTCATCTCGATTGGAAACAAGATGTAAGGTAACACTTCCCGCTAGAAGCACAAGAACCTCAGTCTACCGACAGTCAACTGACCGAAGAACACATATCCAGCTCAGGCGGTCACATTTGACACCTGACAAGGGGCCCTGCCTATTCAATTTTATCCATCTGGGTTATCCGAATCCGTTACCTTCAGGAGAGAGGAATTGAGAACTGGTACATAGCAAGGTTTAAAATGGAAGTGCCAATTGTTCCTAACGCAGTTAGGCTAACAGATACGGTGATATCTGAGCAGGAATCACTTTTGTACCAGGCAAAATAGAGGCTTACGCTGAGGGTGACTTGGTGTCCGATGACGTTTCTCCGGCTGAAGATGACAATTTCGAGATGATAGAAGAGTTTAGACGATCAACTAAACCTTCCAAATTGGTATACTGCTGACCATAGTTGCTAGTCATGCTGTCGACTGTATAGTCATTAACCCTGCCAACGAAATTTACCTTAGTACATACTGCTATAGTACGATACTGGAAGTCATGTCCTGATGTAGACGAAGCAAGCCATCAAGGTCGTTTCAGTAATCTGCTCAAAGCATTTGCAAGTAGCCTAGTAAAATGTAGGTCAAATTAAAAGTGGTTCATCCCTAATTTACATCCTCTAGCGTGAGAAGCAAGGCATAACTCCCAAAACAAGCGACGTCTCGCTTGGCGAACATTCTTTCAAACTCAGGAAGAAGATTGACTTTCTTTTGAACCCTAAAATATAAGCTGGGTCGTCAAAGAAGTGGATAGACCTGGTTTTGTTCTAATCAGCAAGTCCTTCAACTTCATTATACAACAAATTGAAATTCCGATTTCTCACACAAGGCAGCAACCTGACCTACCCGAACTGAAACATTCTACACTAATAAATGGAATGGTATACAGTACTGCAATGTGCTAGTTGTTATGTAGCATAATGAAAGTAAAGGTTTGGAGGTGTACTTGATTTCCAAGCTGTAGGGAGTATCGGCATCGGATAATGGAGCAGCATCCACCATCAGTAAGTCACCAATGGCGGTACACTTTACAATGACGGATTTACAGAGCCCAGCCTGACTGCCATCGGAATACTGAAAAGCATATGAACCATCAAGCTCATTCCAGCCTTCAATTCCAACTTCGGTCTCTTCTGTACGATTCAAAGAAGGTGATTTCAATATTCGGAACACAATGCCCTTTGCACGAACAAAGTGGGAACACACTTCCACATTCCAATTTCAATTTCAATTGACATCGAGGCATAAAGTGCAAGAGCGAAATGGCTCAACTTCCGCCCCACTCATAGTTCCGCAACATCAGCTGCCAAAAGAAATTAGAAAAAACTCCGGCCACGGCCTGAGCAGACCAAGCGCGGGGGAAGCGACGGACCAAACCATGACCTCCAAAATGAGACGAAATCCTCCACGCCAAAAACATCGTAGAACCAATCTCAATGGCAAAAACAACAGAGGACGAAGCAGAACAAGAACAAGACCTGTTGCAGATGCCGCAGAAGATGGAAACGTCGCCCCGGCAGCAGATCCCACGGCAGTCAGAGAATAACCCGACGCTAGAAACGCCGAGTGCACAACGAACGAGACGCGGTCATGCGCCGATCGGAAAGCAGGTCTTGCAGCGCGGAGAACTCCCAGCACGGACGCCGCCGTCGCCATCTTCGAATGCCGATCTTCTCGATCCAATTGCGCGAGCGCGAGCGCAAGAAGCCCGATTCCAACCCTCCGCGATGAAACTCTTCAGTTCTCGCCTCGTCCTCCTCCTCCTCCTCGTTGTCGTCCCCTTCGCTTTCGCTTTGGCTTTGGCTTTCTTTGGCGCTCTCGAGGGTCCGACCCTTCCGCCGCGGGCCCAATTCTGCTTCCCTTCGAAATGAGCCTTGAGCTCGAAGCCATCTGCTCGAAGAGCCCCGCCACGTGTCGCGTCTTCTAAACTGCCTTCGCCCTTGGCCAACTTGGCAGCACGCTCCAGAAATGTGGATTTATTTTATCACGGTTGGAGGCATGTGTGAAACCTACTACCCTGAGCTTTGAGTTTTGTTCTACTAAAGAAATATGAGGGGGTTTCAACTTGGTCCGCCACGATCTGTTTCGTCTCCAGAAGTGACAAAACGGGGTTTGAGATTTTCCCGGTTCGTCCATCAATATAATGGGGATTACAAAATTTCCAAAACTGGAGCAGACTCCTCGGTACTAGGAAAAATTGTAAGTAAATTCATTATAGAGTTAAAGAGAAGGATTTATTTTTCTAATATACTTTTGTGAGGCAGAGAAAATCTATAATAATTGTAACATAAATCAATCTAGTTAATTTTTTCAATTCATTGAAATATTATAATAATATATCCTAATTTTAAGTCACAAAGTTATCTATTTTTTTTATGAAGCTCTCATGTCTATTAAAAGAAGCAAACTGTTTTGTAATTTGATACTTCTTGATATGTTTTAAAATTTAAAGAATATGTTATTAAATCCATCAAATTTTATTTTCATATTATGACTGTTTAACATAGAAAAATAACAGAATTTCTTAAAACTTGTAGTTTATATAATTTTAAAATAAAAATTGCATGTGTTAATCTTTTTATTTCAGGAGATTCAACAAGCATCAACTTTTATTATCAGAATTGAAGATATACCGTTTTAAATGAATTTTGAGCATGATATACATTTAAATTATCGTAATGAAGTACAATTAGGCATAACAAACAAAAATTGAAAGTGATTACAAAACAAACTCTAAAATGATGTTAATCAATACCAACATTATTACTTTAGCATGTGGCAAGTTAAACAATACTTAGCATTTGAATAAAACGTACATTGAAAAAAAAAGTTGACTATAATTCATCTTCATCTTTAATTCTTGTTAACAAAAGCATGATATTTATCAACATATATATATATCCTTTATTGATCTATGTTAATACAAAAAATTTTATTAAAAATTATAAACAGTGAACAACTTTAGAAACATGTAAATATTTTCATTTTTTGATTAAATGTAATCAAAATTTACTATTCATAATCAAATATGTATGAAAATAATTTATTAACTTTTAGTTCATTGAAAATTTTAAGAATTTAAAAAAAATCTTAAAATTTTGACACATTAACATGTACAATATACACAAAATGGTATTTGGGATATAATTTTTAGAAAGTGTAAAACATAAACTATGATGTGTTATATAGATATATTTTTTATTTATATATAGAGATTGTGTGTGTGTGCTAGTTGTTAGTAATGATAATACATATCTATCACAGCATTATTTTTTAATATTTATGTCAATATCTTATTGACATGAATAATTGATTAGTTAGAATCACACAAAATCCATACTTTGTACACATCATTTATAATTAGTCATTATAGACTTCAGATTATACATGAAGATATGAAAATAATGTCAACCTTATGTTTAAGCTGAATTTGTAAGTCAAAGACATCACTATTTATTGTTAAATAAACGATATCTAAATATAATCATATGCTAATTACATTGTAGGTTTGAAATATTTATCAATAATTTTGCTCATAATGAATTTTTGCTATCTTCGGCATGGGAAAACTTCAATGTGTCTTAGATTATTTCAGATGTGTCACATTAAATTGAATTATTTTCAAAATGTATAATTTTTTTTATCAAACTTAGTTTTTAAATTCAATACATTTGAGTTGACATCAACATATTACATATGTACTTTATATAAGTTCCTGTACACAATGTTACAAATCATTTTGAACATTTTTTTATAATCCTTTTTTTAAAATATGAAGTTATATGATTATGATTGTACAAAAATCTTGATAACTTTTGTACAATCATAATCATATATGTGTCATATGAATGCCACAAATTTGTGCATATATACATAGTTTTTGGAATAAATTTCATTATATATATATATGAACGAGACACATTCATTGTCTTCTAAAGATTTTAATGTATAATTTATAATAATAGAATACTTAAAAATATATTTATTATAATCATAAAATATTAATCAAAGTATTGAACGTATATGCATGTAATCTACGTCTTAAGTAAATTGTGTATATCGGATTAATATGATAGAATGTAAACTTGCAAATAATGGTTGTATGTCAAATTTTTGATCTTAAACAAGATTATCATAATAGGATTAATTGATTATCTAGAATGAAATAACTAAATAGTAGAATTCAACATACATGTATGAAGGCATGGTTATTTTAGACTATCTTATAACAAGGCGCATAGATTATCTAAAGCAGCGCTCCCTCTAGCGCCTAAATTAAACGTAGCATCCAATTTGTAATTGGCTTAAAATTGGAGCGTGTGAAATTTCAGCCATTCACCACGTCAGTCTCGTAGTTCACCGAGTTGTATTTCAAAATTAGTAAATTAAAATTTCATTCACCCACAAACCTCGCAGTCCCACTACAAGTTCCGCGTGATGATTATTCTCTCTCCCTCTAACTCCTAACCACTCTCTCACTATCAAGTGCACTCAATACCACTTTTAGCACCAAAGCGCATATATATATATATTTTTTGACGCGACTGAATTAAATTAATTTAGGTAATTAAAGGGACCGATTTATATAACCATGACTGCGCATATGTAATCTATATAAAATTATCATTTACAAAATAACTTTCTACATGATTATTTAGACAAAACTGAGAAAATTTACTCCCGGTTGAAAATAAGACTAATTCAACCATAATTTTAAATAAGTATGAAATACAGGTTGATTTTCATTAAAAAATATCCAAAATTATTCTTTGAAAAGTTGATAAATGAGAATCATAACAATGAATCTATAGATACATATATGTTAAATGAGGACTTTCCCATTATGTATTAGTTGGTGTCATTTTATTTTAATTTTAACACAATTTAAGATATCATCAACTTCAGATTGACCTTTAATAAGATGATTTAGCATATTTGTATCAAGATTTCAGTGATAGATATTTGGATAGAAGTGGAAGTATGGATCATTGTATATCACTTGCTTATAATTAAAATATATATATATATATATATTTATATCAACATGAAATACTCAGTACGTATTCAAAATCAACTTTAAAGGTCATTCATTTACGATTATATATTTTTAGTGACACTCTTTTAATTTTGAGTTGATTTTTTCCCAGCTGTATGGGTTTAACACAACCTGTTTAGGTATGTAAGAATCAAGTTATTGATTGTACCTTGATTTTTTTCGTCAAATTTCTATAATGAAGTTCGCAAGGGTAGATGCTCATCTTCTCTAATTACCTCGTGCATTTTTGGATCAAAACCTGTTACAGGGTGACTGTAGAGTTCGTTAGGTTTTTCATTGGGCGCGTCTGAATGAACGCATCTGGGTTACGTTTATTTATTCGGAGTATGTAATGATCTTTCCTTCGAGTACGTGCTTATTAAAAAGAATGTTGAAAAAAGTATCGTGTTAGAATCACACTGGTCTGCACATAACAACTGAACCAAATGAGAACTTAATTCAGAAAATCGCGATGATTAACTGATAAGGCAGAATGATAGTATATAACTGGGTTGGATTGAAAATAAAAGCAAGAAAATCAACCGATGTTTGTAGAGAAACGTGTGATTATTGTAAACTTGATATTCGCTTGATTATCAGCTTCGTGGATTGACGATGATCGGAACATCTTCAGTTTTTGGAGATGTTCCGATCTCACATAAACTATATACTTCCTGGCGTGTTACATTTCGAGGCAGTCAAGACACTTGAGATTTAATCAATGATTTCGACTTATCAGAATTTCGCGTTTCAGAAGATTCATCTAACGTTCTGGATACTGACGGAAATTGGAAGTAAATTGTTGTACAGCACCTGAACCTTACATGAACCATAGAGTTCGACATGTTAATGACTGGGTTAAAAAAGTTACAATCTGATTGACTAAGATATGTGTTCATGACCTTCAAATAATATATTTTTCATACAACAATATTTTTAACAATCAATAATGTTACTGGATCGATACTAAACATAAGAAAGATGATTCCTCGAGTGCTCTTATGGTCATGTTGTATCTAAGCTAGACTAATTTGATAAATCTGAAAATGTACCATATTTCCCATTGTGGTGCTATTGGTTGCTGTTAATTTAAGAAATAATAGGATAGCAATGATGGTTCACTACTTTCACATGGTATCCCTGACAGACTCGTTCGTTTACCTGGTGGAAATAGGGCTTAGTACTGTGGTCTCCGTATGCATGAAGAACGTCGTGAAACCTACAGTGATAACTTACGTTTCTACAAAGCAGACCTCAAAGCAGAAAATCTGAAAGTCGAAACCGTGAGTCAACAAATCCTTGAAGAAATTTCAAACTTTATACTGTCAGCCAGATATACTTACATAGGGTGGCTCATACCCAAATGAGAAACATCGTGACCATGTATGTCACCCTTGGCCAGACTAACAGGTTGAAATCCAAGTTCCAAATGAACTTGGCTACAAAAAGATCTCTTCTGTCGAGGGGGTGGATTCCACCACCCAGTGCATCTCCTGAACCTACATGTACTGTTATCTGGAACTCAACTCGGTTTACATTGGAGTAAGCACGCAGCGAGGGCTGCTTCTGTGACTATTCGGGCCATTCTGATTTGAGTGGCAAGAATGCTATATGTACAGTGCTCTCCTCAGTGTGCCAAATGATAGTATCCAAACTGGACTTCAGTAACAACCACCGTAAGAGAATTAAGACAGCGAACAAGACCTCCTACATGCAACATAATTTGATACCGAGATCGAACCTGGTTGCAATTACGCTCTTAATATATGAGGACAGCACATGATCTGGTCATTAAAGCCCCGTTTAGGACAGGTGAACAGTCCCGAGCGTGTACCCGGTGAGCTCCCCAGGTTTTACAAGTGTGGGTGCACACGTTGATAAGGTGGCGCCAGAAAGAAAAGTTGAGCACAGGATAGTGTTTACAGCCCCGCAGGTGTACAACCCTGATGTCACAGTGACACTGATGACAATTACACTCATCCTTACTTACAAGCTGCCGATCTGGTGTGGTCAACGCTCTGATGGGACTTGGAATCTTACAGCAATTTGGTAGCCTCAATAAACAAATCACTTTCTTTTCCTTAACCTCTTCCTGATTGGTGACATATTACCCTGCTTTGGAGAAGGAGATTCTGGAGCTCGTACAGCAGGTACCTGCGTTGTTGCTGCAACACCTACTACAGATCTTCTAGCTTGTCGCTTGAAAAGAGTTCCAATTGGAGTTGAAAGGTCGTCATCTTCAACATCTGGCTCCGCTGCTCAAGTTAAACACGAACAAAATGACATATAGTTAGCTGACCTCCAGTAAAATGAAAGATCCCATACTAATCATTTGCAATTATGAACGTCGACCAGCTCGGCTTCCACGTGTAATATATTGGTGATATACCACACAAGTGTACAAATCAGGTCACTCTGCATCAAAGAGTTCAATGAACGCACGGCCCAACCAGAAAGAACTCATCAAAGAAAACCTTCACATTGTACACATCTTGGACTTGTTAATTATGGTGCATACATTTTGGAAAAATCCGCGAAGACGTGGTGGGATTGCTCGTTGATTCCACAACAAGTGTGGGCACGCTGGTTCGATTAATAGGAGGTGAGGGCACGCTTGTTCGATTCACAGGCGGTGTGGGCACGTTTGTTCGATTTACACCAACTGTGACAATATCGTTCTCTGCCTGTTCCTCTGGCTCACTACAAGTTTTGGCGTAGGGCTTCATGTAACAAAACCTGACCAATAGAACAAAAAATTAGGCCTCCCCAAACATATGAAAGAAAAGCTCTACACGTCATCGATTTGTCTAAACAGCATTTGACGGACTTGTAACAAGGACATTCTCACAATACCTTGCAAGGACACCATGATCATATATTCTGTTATTATAATAGGTGCATTCGGCAAGGAGATGATTACATTTCATGTAAAAAATGGAAAACATAACCATACTGTCAAACAAACTATCCCCTTACCATTCTTCAGGCAGGTCACTAGTGTGAACACCTCCAGGGAGTTTCCTCCACTTCCGACACTTATCACATTGAACCCATTCTCGATCAGGCTCGAAATGAGCTTGACCGTCATTCGTCTCACTGACCTGCACTCCAATGATAATATTAGAGTAATCTTAAATGACCTCTCTGGCCAGAATATGACAGTATCTATTGAAGGACATCACATTCAATAATTATACGGAAGCTTATGCTGTGTGAACCGACTTGCATGAAAGAACTGAGTTTGATGATACCCAACGCAGTTCTTTAATTCAATAAAACAGCTTCTCAATCACACTGGTTATGCTCATGAACATTTTCTGAACCTACAAACTGTAATGAATTTCCTGGTTTAAGGCAGGTGTATTTACCACTTCCAAGTTATCAAAATAGCGGTACCAATAATCGTTAAAAATATCCCCAAGCCACTTCTCTAATATGGCATACTCTTCACAATCTTCAAATGACTGCTTGGTGTTTAAAACTTTAGTTCCATGATCATCTTCCTGCACAGGGACAAAAAAGATAATGAAAACCAATAAATCAAGGGAAATGCTGGAATATGAGTTCGCAGAGAATTCATGTAAGTATGTATTATGTATGTAGCCTGTATATATATGTAGATGCCGCTGCATTGCATGTATCACGAAAATTCAATCTGCTTGTCATACAAAAGTCTTACCATCAGTGTGGTGACGTCTATCACTCCAATCACTCCACGACCTACGTCGGCACTGTGAACCATTCCGCCAACCCTCTTATAAGCCTGCAATCAATGACGGCCATACAAGGGCGGAAGATCTAAGTAAACCAAAAGCAATCGACATGAACCACGAATCTATCGACACATTCGCATGACCGGTAATTACTGCTGTACATTTCAAACATATAAAGTACATGCTCGCACTTGTTTAAATCGATTTGGCTAGATTCTAAAGAAGTCTTTTAACTATATCCACATCTTAGACATGTATATGTGGAATTCAAACATCTGCGAAGTCAATTGAATGATTGACGCTTTCTACATCACTTCGAGCATCGGAGTTGATAACTAGTATAACAAAGGTATTTGAAGACAAGTTGAATGTTTACCTCGATCAAGCGTCCATGCCAATACAGAAAAATGCCGCAGTTCCCTCTATTATATTCAACTGAGGACCGTCCCAAAGTAAGCTCTATGACTTTACCACAAACATTGCCCTTTCTTCTGTACGTTTTGTTCAAAGATTGAGCAAGTCTCGTAGTCTTAACCTGCCTCACACATAGATGCATGTGAGAAGTTGGGTGACAGTGTCAAGTCATGCCAAGTCAACTTTTAAGTGAGCAGCTTCTCAGAATAACAGAAACTTGTTGGGTAGATCCAGCAACATAAACAGTCTATCAGTCGATTTGACCATTACCCCAAAAATATATATTTGAATCTCAGAAAGCCAACGACGAAAATAGAGACTGGAAAGGACAACAGGACTATGACCTTCCCAATATGTGAATGACACAACTTAGACCATAAAGGGAGGAAAACTCCCAAATATAATGCAGAGCTTGCCGAAAAGATGAGAAGTCATACAACGCAAACCTGTGTAAAAGCCTTACTGAAAACCTAACTGACCTACGGCACTTTGATAAAGCATATAAAGAAAGACAATATCTTTATGTTCTTCACGTTTAACGCATTGCCGGTTTCTCACTGTTGAAGTGCAACAATTTTAACCTAAAAAAGAAATCAAACGAGTGCAAAAGAAACATGCAGAGACTTACCTTTGATCCTTGTATCCTTATGATCATTCGTGGATCCAGGAACAAAACCTCCAGATAAGAACGAAGAGAATAATCCAAGGGGATCTGGGAATGCAATTAAACCGTCATATTTTAGCGGGACATTTCGTTTGCGTAACATATCCGTCTAGCCTTGACATATCTAAAAGACGCAAACCCATATAAAGAGAAGGTGAGAGGAAGCATCTGTGCATGGAAGAGATCGCAGATTCCGGTTGACCTTAATCTGAGCAAAATTCGCCTTATATTCCATCCCTTCGAGCCAAAACTATTGTATCAGAAAAGGAGTGAAATAGCCCACCTCCTTGCTGGTTTGACTCGGTCTGGCTCGTACACGTTTTGAACGTATTGTTATATCTCTATCACGGCGTGTATGATATTTCGTCGGATCTTCATCATCCCACTGTAATGCATATTCCTTTCCCCACCGATCCAGATTATAGATCAAAATGTATGTGCCGTTACCCTTGCCTTCCCCAATTTTGTCAAAGAAAGAACCAATTTCAAATTCGTTAAATGGCGAAAAAGTTTTCACAGCCTGAAGACAAGCCTGCCCTTGCTCCTCGGTTTGTACACTTAAATCCATCTCCATAATTCCGTGAACCTTTCGATATGTGACGATGGGTACCTCCAAAATCTACATAAAAAAGTTACTGGTTTTAGTACTATATTATTGCACTGCGAATACTGGTCATCTGAGCAAAAATCGAAAATGATGTTTGAAAAGATGAGGTGTTTGACGACTCTTCAAGCACAGCACCATAAATGTCATCTGACGGACAAGATACCATCGACATCTAAATTGTCTGACATCAGGATTCGCTTGTGAACTTAAATGTTTGCGCGACATAGATATATTGTATCCAAGGTGTTCAGCCAGTTATAAAAGTATCAATTGAGTAACAATGAGTCAAATCTTGTTAGCGATAATGTAGTTCGGTATGCACGTCTCATGAACACCTGAACAATCCTTGACAGAAAGATGGGTAGAGAGAGGTGTGGTGGAATATACGAGAAGAGAATAACAACGTGAAGCAGAATGAAAAATTTCACGTATCATCAATCCAGTACCGTATTGAAGCACATAAATAAAACATAGACATAAACAATAAACGAAGAAAACACAAAGAAAAACTTTTCGACAAGAACGCAAAATACGTACACTACACTGTTGTCATAGATAGACTAATTAAATCAAAAGTTAAAACTACAAGATACCTTTGGTTTTGTATACTTCAGCAAACATTACGGATTTAGCATTAGTAAACCTTCGGTTGGCCTTGTACCACTTTCCTTCCGAAGGTGCTCAAGTCTTTCAACTAGTCATGTTGATGCTGGTTACTGTTTGCAACAAGGCTGTTAGAATTCTCTTACATTCCAGTTAAACTTGTATTTAACAAAGATGAGGTCTGCCGCTAGATTAGTCGGTGTTATGGAAAAGGATCTGACTTAGCAATACGGAGGTGCCGGGACGCCTATGTTTCAGGCTGGCATGGCGTGTTTACCTCTACAGCTTGTCTCTTTAACGTCGTGATGAGCTTACAAAAGTAACACACTAGCCTACTTCAAACAACCTCCCGCAAACGGCGCACTTTGGGCCTCTCTGGGGCACTCTTGATCTGAGCAGTGAACATCTACAAATCTGACCATCGGTATACTCGTATCACTTTTGAGCTTCTTCTCGTCAGTACAAAGATGCGTGTACACAACACGACCCTTGAAACCTGGAGAGTTGCAGTTTATAGTTTGTCTACAGAAGAACCTTGTTTAGATGCCGTTTTCAATTTCAATGCAAATTCACCCATGAGGTGATTCGGATTCGTATCGTGCGGTGTCTCATAGTCAGATCAAATCGGTTGTTTGAATTCTCTAACCAATCGGACAGAACGACTACAAGAATGTATAAGATGCTCAGAAGACAAGTAGTGGGAACATAACAGACGAAAGTCAAAAGGTGGCTGAGCCTTGTATCAGAAATGAACGAAAGGAGGCACGAGAAATCTATATGTACCGTCAACGAGCCTTGCTTCACAATCCAAAACTTCCGAGATTATTTGATTCAGTACGTTACTGAGATGACGATAATTAGAAATAACTCTCTAAGGTATTTCAAAACTTGTGAAATAATACCTCCTTATCTGCGTTATACGAGGTAGACAAAAACCCGATGGAGCGAGAATCCTTCGATTGGGTCAAAATTATCACATCCCTACCAAGTCGCATTGATCCCGACTGCAAAAACATCAGATAGGGTATAACCATCAGATACTATTCGTACACACAGGACCAGCCTTTCATTCTCGGGAACCTAGTAAATATCTTGACAGTCACTCGCATCAGCGGGCAAGATCTATGTACATAATTTGCTCAATAGTTACTTCATCCGCCGATGTGAATAGTGTAAGCTGATGGTAGAGTATTCAACGAAGAACGAGTGAGGCCCAAAGTTACTGCCTGAAGGCCACGCACAGTACCTTAAATCCGACACCAAAGTAACCGATATGATTGTGATCTTTATGATTTGCCATCTTATGACCAAACTGGAGCATACGGACAATTTCCTCGTGATTCATCCCTCTCCCATTGTCCTCGATTCGTAACAGTGGCATAAGATCTGATTTCCCTTTCATTTTAACCGTGGTGATGCTAATGTTTAATCTGCAAAGGACAAACAGATAGAATCAATCATTTCAACGAGTGGAGAAAAAGTTTCACCTTCGTTGACCTCAACTATGAGAATGCCAATTAAGTGGACTTAAAGTCACTTATGAGAAACAGTTATCTACTTAGAACGACGTTATATTGGGATAAACCAGAGACCACATACAACACTATTCACAATCAGCAATACTTCATACAATTTCGGGTCACCCTCGAACCAAATTCTTTGCAAGTCTACATGCTGAGACAGAGATTACAAGGGCATTAGTTCCCGCTGCCTTAACAACTGGACGTAAGCAGAAAAGGAATATACCGAGTTGCTTGGGCATCCCTCGCGTTATCTACAAGTTCTGCCAAACCTCCGAACTGCCAAGAAGCATGCAATTGCGCCAACGTTTGAAGGTAGCTTGGGTGCATTTGCCCTAAACTCCGTCTTTCTTTGGAATTGTCTCGAAGATTCTCTGCAACAACATGCGATCATATTCTACAGATAATTAGATATCAGAACATGCTCTACACATGGTTCACGGTCAAACTTATGAACGGAAAAAACTTACCAAAGAAAAGGATACAAAACTCAAGATCTATGTAACACACTTACGGGCCCCATGAATGAACAGCATTCATTCGTGACTGCGAAATTAGTTGAGTACAGCACTTCAGCATTTAGATGGTCAGCAGAGCGTGCTCCAGATGCGTTTTAAATTATGCAGTGACAATAATCTAGAGTTCTCGTAAATGACGAATTTACTCACGCCCAGTTATAACTACACAAGGAGCCGTCAACTTAATAGAACCTAAGTAGAATCATCGTGACACTCGATATTTTAACTACGTACGTTACAACAAAATTGAATATTACAGGAACACGAACGATGGACGGAGAGATGTTATTCTTAGTTAACTTCAAAGGTTCTTTCTTACACCGGTACTGTCATGTAAGTACGTGGAAATTGCTGGACTGAACCATAATTCCACTTATAAGTTGAACCTCGTGAGTGAAGACGTTGGACTGGACAATGACAAAGGCATGATGCTTCTTCTCTGCTTCCGTTTGATGTATATTCTATCAACGACTTCAAGTGGACAGGTAGCTCAAAATACTGAAAGGCTTCAGTCATTATCTATTTTTAACAGAGTGACTGTGAGGAGGATACTGTTTATTCCAGCTGAACTCATTTTTTGTATTGATGAATATTCTTGGCCATTTCAGCTTATGAAGGAGCCTTCATGAAGAAAAAGACTTGTTCCGACGAGGTGGTTGGTGTTCTCTTTCATACCTTTAAACAAGTACTAATGGACATTGCAATCCTTTGTAGTCATTGAAAGATGGACTTTGATGGTTATAAAGGTCCTTCTGAATAAAGAGATTCATAGCAGACAATTGTTGAACTTTCTTATACCTGCACTATGGTCTTCCAACTCTCTTAAACTCCGAAAAGAATGACGTACTCGACATATCCTCAACGAATGCGGCCAATAGTTTATCAGGACCTGATCGGTTAAAATACCTGATATACGCTAAACTAGTTGGCTTTGGTGTCCTCTGAAACATGTTTCCCGATAAACTACAAACTGAGTTCCAATGCCTTCGCAAGCATATTGAGGTACGACAACATGATGAGAAGACTGATAACATCTTACACGTACTCACTTACATTGTTAGGTTGTGAACTCCTTAGTTCTACTTTGTACACAAAAATACACAGGAAAGAAAGTGGGAATATGAGAAAAGAGTTTGAAACCATGTCCAGTACCAGGTGGGTCAAGAACTTCGGCGCTCGACCTACCGACGTCCGCCGCAGGTATTGAATGGACACTACCGCTAACCGGCTGCGGAGCCGGTGCCACTGTCGGAGATGGAGTAGGTGATATCTCGCATGCAGGCGCCACCGTCGGAGATGGAGTAGGTGATATCTCGCATGCAGGGGCTCGAAATTTTTGAAGCTTTCGATAGCAGACACGGAGAGGGCTTTTCTCAGTAGGACGTACTTTGGGTGGTTTGATAAGTAGTTCCCATTCACCGACGATAATAGGTATAACCTATATACAAAAGAAAGACATGCAACAAGCAAATCGCAGCGGTTATAGGGTGGAATTTCGTCAAAAGAAGTAAGCAAACACAACACCTTAATCATACTTTTCATTGTAACAGAACTTTTAATGAATTAGTTAAAGGCGAAAAGGTGCGACACCTTGTCTCTCGCATGTAGGAAAGAAGTGAATTTAAGCCACTCATGTCGTCGATCTGGGATGGAAGCATTTGGTGACGGATTTTGCGGGTGTAAGTCGAAAGAAGGCAAGTTGTCTAATGGATAATATGCAGCAGGTTTGAAGTCTGAAAAGTTCAGATTACTAGGCCTGCACAGAAGCCCACCATAAATCATATTCAGCAGACCGACATACGAGGAACATATTCGTCAAACAAAAACTTCTCTCAACAACGTCAGTGACAGCTCACCATGGCATGCATCATATGAGTCATGTGACAGAGGAGAAATGCATACAATACAAAGTCTAACAGCTGTACTCACAAGCTTATGGGTAAGTGAATCACGGCAACAGGTGATACCAGGATACCATCTTTAGAAAGCAACCCTGAATACTCGTATACAACGGTAGGGCGACCTGGAACACCCAACCACGGAGTCTTTATTAGAACCGAGTGCTTTAAATTACTTGAACAAGCTGCGAAGAGACTTTAGATATTCCATAAGCATTATAGACATATAACTTCCAGATTGGAAGGAAACATATGATACTGTCAGCGCAGGATCAAACCAATCTAGTCCCCGTAAGATAAGCGCTGAAGTTGAGGTTCATTCATTTCGAAGGTAGAGCTACGTGAAGATGCATACCCTCATCAGGCAGACTGTTCAGATCCAAAATCACGCCAGACATTCTCAACTCCCGCCTACACATAATCAAACAAAACCAGTTAACGTTAGAAACCAATACGTAAACACATGCAAGTCAACAACACCACAAACACATGTAAAGAGAGTACTTGGTCACTCCTGGACATCATAATCTATATCGTCCCTGGCTTCATCTGATGTCTTTATTAGTGCAAAAATACTTCCAACTCGTGCGGAAACACAAAAACTGCAGTAAAGAGGTGCATTCAGAGTCGAGCAAGTAATGCCTGACGGCAAATTTGCAGACAACCATACGGTTTGTTCAACCAGAATAGGCAGAAGAAACGATTATAGATAGACCAAGCATCAGGCGTAATGCGAAGGAGTAGAAGCAGCACAGGCGATGAGCCGACCACAAGAGAACACGGAAGCCAGAGACGAAAGTAAGTGCATGATGTACAGTATTCAAAGAATCAAAAGAAGGTTGAAGGTTTGTCTAGAATGGAAGTCTTGAATATTAGTTATGTTAGTAGTCGGTAGAGATAGCGTTAGTAGGTGTGAGACCAATTTCCAACACAAATCACGATGGGAAACCTATGTAACGGATTAAAGGCAATCAGCTGTATGATATAAGTTCTACGAACTTTTAACATTTAGTAGTAACTGGAGCATACAAACTAGTGTACCCTCAATCTAATTTTAGAGGTACTTAAGAACGAGTTGAAAACAAATTCTGGTTATAAATGACTGTGAATGCCCAAGTAAGTGTCAAAAAAGAAGTTCCCTGAGTCTCTAGACATAGCGCCGAATGCACAATACATTAGTAATAAAGATCAACGCAGGAATTGCAGAGGTGGAAATAGAAGTGTCTATGTAAACAATTCCACTACTTCGACTCTTGAAGGAGATATTGAAATAAAGAGAAAAACATAGGCAGTGGGTAAGTAGACATGAAAAAGCGCTCGTTGCGTACCATTTGCTCCACACCTAGAACCACAATAAGTACATATGCAACGACGCCTCGGGCGATAAGGAGCAAAGGACTCAAAATATAAAAACAGGTCGTAGAAACTGAATGTAAACGGAGAAAATGAAGTAGAATGGATATTGATTGATGGGATCATTGAGTCAGATACGAACAAAATTAAGGACTTGTCCATAAGCTGGACCCACAAGTACATGCCTGTGACTGCAAGCACTTTCATGAGCTATACATCTTCAATATAATGAGATACATTTCGATATAATGAATTTCATTATTTATCTTTGAATAAGCTACATTTCAATTATATTTCTAGTTATATTTATTCTACAGGAGTTGGCAAGATCCCAGTACTTGTGCTTGATACACTTGTATCAAATAACTCCACTGGCCACAATTTTCCAAGACAGATTAGTAAGCACGGAGGTTCATCAGCTATCTGTTGCCTTCATCGGTGCGGTTGAAAAATTTGGGTCGTAAAGTCCAGCAAAACAAAGAAAGAAATGATATACTAGAGTATGAGAGGTTATTGCGATAGCATAATTACCAAAACGTATAAACTTGACCAGTTTCCGTTCATTCCCCGTCCAATTCATGAGCCCAACCCATCTGCGAACCTATTAGAATGGTTGCAATCGAACCGACTCAAATGGAAACAGTCATAAGCCGCAGGCCAAGGCGAACGAGGGAAACGAAGTGAGTGACAGGATTCTACACTGAACACACAGACATTGGAGTAAATTGAATTTCTTCATCTTCTTCATTGAAGAAGAAATATTGCTCGAGATTTACTCGTAAAAGGGCAGAAACTGCCTACCTACAACAAGTAACGCTTCTGATACTGACTAAAGTAGACAAATATGCACATATGTGAGCTATCTACATATCTCCTACTTCAGAGAGACAAGTATTGCTCACTCGCTTGACTTCTTCCTTTGCCGGCTGAGGTGGATCACTTCTGTCATTTCACATCTTCCCGCTTTTGGTGAACGAAAAAACCGTGGAATCGATTGTCGCAGCTGGATGAGTGACAAGTAGCCTCACAAGAATCGAGAGCTTCCAAATTGAGGTAACATATTCGGAATCAGAGAAAAAAGAATCCGTAGCTGGAACACCCCGACTTACATACACGTGCAATTAGCGCACGGACATAATCCTCAGGCTCTCTGAGACTGACTGTTCTCATCAAACCGAAACAGCAACAGTGAGTCTTAGTCCCGCCAAAGCAACTGACGCTTTACTTCCCCGATTATAATCTACGCATTCCCGTGGCTGCAGCTGGACCCACAAAGACTCCCGAAAGTGCATTCCTCCTTGTGCGAAATTTTCAGCGAAGCAGCAGAGCTACATATACCAGAAGCCATGGCTGCAAAAGCGGAACGGACATGTACCACGTAATCATGGGGCACCTAAAACCTTGCAATTTCAACTAGGCGCAAAAGAGCACCTTGCGTTGATGCTGCCATGTGACGAACAGAATCGAGAAGAAAAGAACCGACGAGCATATCGTCCGGTGGCTCCAACAACTACTACCCTAAAGTCCGCATCAAGTGCCCAGAGGCCGGGCACTGAAATTCGAGGCTGACAGTAAAAGCGAGAGACTAGAAGGCCGCAGAGTTCCCGCCCCGACCGCGGCTCGACAATTTCAAATGATTCGGGCTCGCTCGCTCGCTTCCATTCGTGTCGTCCCCAATTCGAATGCTCATCGGCGTCGATCGCTGCTGACGACGCCGCCGGCTCGCGGGAATCTTCCCACGATTCCTCCTCGTCCGGCCGAGGGCGGACAGAACGCCCGGGAAGCTGTAATGTACCTTCGTCATCCGCCACGTGAGCCGCTACACGCTCCTTCCCTCCCTTTCTCGCTCCCCTTCTCTTCACTTCAGCTCCGCCACTTCGTCCACCGCCGCCGCCAAATTGCGGGGACCGCCGAATGGGACCCGACCCTACCGCCATTTTGGCGGATAGTGGGCTTCTGTAGAGCACGAGGCTAGCAGCGCATTATGTCACCCATAGTCTTACCAGTACCCATCCATGCATTATCCGGTTACACCAAATCTTGGTTGGATGAGCAATATTGATGTACACATTCGTAAACATTTGGAAACTATGCCCATCAAACCCACCGAATATTATAACCACCCATGAAAAATAACGTCCCCCAAAACCATAGGCATGGGTATTCGATCTTGGTCTCTGCTGTAAAACCAGTCACGTAGTTCACTTGAACCCTCTAAATTATCAGGAACTTTGTACGTTGTAGTGATATCAAAGCCCAAATTTTGCGATGTCTACACAAGTCTGACAGTGCGAAGCTCGATCCAATTATTTGCTAACGGATCCCGATAACGGTGTGCGCCCGATCTGCAGACCGAGCCTTGCGCTCGATTCCGACTGCGGTTCTGTCAATCCGAAGCATGTTGAGTCCTTGCGCCGGTACTTCTCTGAGACAGTTTACCGAACTAATGCAAGCGTGCAGTAATTTAAGCTCGTGATCATTGCATTTCATGCAAAGTTGTTGTTACGAATGTGGTGGTTTCACCGGTCTCTTTAATTCATCCCATCATTGCGTTTCCTGCATCGAAAATGAAAGTTGATGACTGCTTCGTATAATCTCAGTGATATTTTGCAGTCTGTAATTAGGTAGCACATTTAGTACCTCGGTTTACAATTGAGTTTCAAAATCTGAAGTTCAATATACAATCTCATCTAGAGATCTCGAACCGATCTTGAGTGTCAACACGATTGAGAAGTAAAGACGTGCAGAACATACTGAGACACAACAAGGTTAGCAAGTAAAGCATACTCTTATAATAATACTTGTAGATGTTTGAGTTCAATCTTCAAGATAATGCTGTTCCAAAGATGAGAACTATTACGGGTTGGGATTCCGTTAGTGTAAAACAACTCACAAGCAATCAAGAAGCAACTTATTGCAAATACCAAAATCTCATAACGTCTATGTTTTAATAAAAGTGTCTTTTGCCACCCTTTTATTTAGTGTGACACTTTAACATTTATGAGAAATGGTATTTGTTACATTTGTATTGAAGTCATAAAAATGACGGCTTATAAAATGTCAATTTTCGAGCAATACTACAAAATTCATTTGAAAAGATTCCCAAATGAGATCCATGACATTGTGTCTTTGGGACATTTTGATACTCCTATATTGTTAATCAAGTTGATTTGCACTTGCAAGTAAATTGAAAACACATGAGTTGTACTATAAAATTTTTCAGCTTCAATTTCTTTCGTTGCGTGGTTGATGACAAGATCGAACTGACGATGAGAGCACAAAATGGGGAGAACTTAGTTTGAACACATATTCATCAGTAGTGTGACAACTCCACGTAATTCATTGTAATATGGTTACCTAAAACAACACCAGCAGTTGACGCAGATTCATTAACACACTGTCAACACACATTTGAGTTTATAGATTTTACAACTATTACCCTTGATGCGATGAACAATCAACAACTAACACACACAAAAACACACGGACAATTTACATAACAACGTCAAATGAGCTATAATGAAACCTCAAACATGCCAACATTCAGCCAAAATTGCCAATCATATGAACGATTTACAATTGCGATGTTGTATATCGACCATAACAATCAATCTAGACAAAAAATGTGCTTTTGTGTGATCAATAAATAATTGAAATCTTAACAAGTCTTTAATGTTGACAATATAGTTGCCAACGTTCTCATTCACTTCAACTATGAATAATTTTGTAGCGTTTGTATTTAAAGTTGGTTCCTTTGCATCAACATTTTCATCCAACTCTGATTTGAAGAAAAAATTGCCAACAAGATCATTGACTATTTTCACGTTGGGATTCAAGAGGTGAATGTCTTTGATTTGCAATTCATATATAAATGTATCCAATTGTTTAGAATCTCATTAGAATTTTTTATCTTGTAATCAAGAAACAAAAGTTGATACGCTACCTAATTGTTTTCGTGTTGCGTCTCAAAATACTTTTTGTATAGCTTGGATCTATAAAACCAATTGCTATATGTGTACAATAGTCTTAAAAGTAGTCAAGGAGTTGATCTTGGTTAGTTTAGATATTACTAAGTCTAGCTAGTGATGACTAAATTTAGCTATAATGTTTATACTTGGCGGAATAATGAGGGAAGTTTTAGAAGATTTGAATGTGCACTTCTATTTTGTTTCTTACAAAAGTTTAGATTCAAAGAAAAAAAACTATTGACTACATGATTAGTTTTGATTGATTTGACTAAGTAATGAAAACCTAATTGGTTATACTATGTCTAAAGTTAACTTATTGGCAAATAGAGATTCTAAAAGTTTGAAAGTTTTGTATGACATGTTGGCATCTTAATCTATGAATCATGAAACTTTTAGAAGTTTGATTGAAATTGTAGTATGATGCAGCTTTTTGTGTTTTCAAACGTCACGCGCTAAAAAGAATGACAAGTTGTCATTAGAAGTCCGACACAGTTCATTCATCACACACGTAGAATGGAGCTGAAACTACTGATAAGCAAGAACGCACTAGCGGTTGTGCGCGCACCAACCAAAGAGCAGCAGAAGATACAATGTGGAAAACTAACAACTCGAAAAGTCTTATCGTTTTAATTCACAACCTGCCAAAGTCACACATCAAATCACAGAAGCAGAGCCGTGGGGCAAGGACTCACGTACATAGTCTCCAAAATGAATATCATGTGCCAAAAGTAGTAGAGGAGGGGCAAGAAAAATAGATCAAAGCCTTTAGAGTTGTTGCAAAAGTGGATCATGGTGTCAAAACCCCAGTATGTACCCAATGCATGGAATCCTACAACGTGAAGGACCACCAAGAGAACTTCATATTGTAGCATCATGCATGGATTGTAATCGCAGGGTTGGATAACTAGCATGAAGAAAATCTTTTCTGTCTTTCTCTTATTCCTCTTCAAGAATACTCAGTCCTAAGCACGGTATTTGTGTTGAGGTCATGCTCGTATTATAATCCTGAATATATGTGTTGATCCTTGTCTATTCCTCCCATGTGTATCACTGTTATGCAACCTTCGGGCTGACTCTCACTAAGGTTTACCTTAGATGGCTTTTCGGTAGCTCATCATGATTCTAGAAGACTAAGATTCCGCATCATACTCATAATCTAAACATCATCTCACACAATCTCTCAAGGTATCACTCCAACTCATACACTCATTGACACTCCAAAGTACTGAAAATTTGTCACTCTTTCATATATTCATATATGAAACAAGTCTCTACATATGAACTCTCCAAACTTGCTTGAGAGGCTCTTCCCTACCTCTCTACATATACTACTTCAGAATTTACCATAGTAACAAATGGTAATTTCTATCTAACTTACTTTTACAAAGATAAACCATAGTAAGGATGACTTGTTATCAATATGTGGCAACATGCCATTGACCCCCTAAACCTTCTAGATGTTTACTAATCCCTAGATTGAGGTGGCGACATGCCATTTGTGACTTTCCCACTTCTAGAACTTCCACTTTCCACTAAGTTAACATTAGATTTAGTCTAACCAATGGAATACTCCTTACTTTAGTCAAACCAATCAAAACTAAACATGAAGTTCAAAAGTCTTTACTCTTGGAATCTAGACTTTTGTACAAGACAAAATAGAAGTGCTCACTCAAATCTTCTAGAACTTCTCTAGTTATTCCGCCAAGTATAAACATTATAGCTAAACTAGCTAGACTTAGTCATAACTAGCTAGATTTAATCATAACTATCATAACCATGATTAACTCCTTGGTTAATTCTAGTTTTATTTCACACATGCAATATCTGGTCTTACATTTATCCCCGGACCAAGATTTCATTACACCCTCAGAGTGAAAGAATTTGATCTTCGATGAAATAATTTCAACTTGTCGTGGTTGACTCGATCGTAGTGACGTCCTCCTAACTCCTTGATATCATAAGTAAAGTTTCCCCACAACTTTTCAACTATGAAAGGTCCAAAATACTTAAGAAGAAACTTTTTCTTAGCTCTCTTGTATCTAATTGCATCAAAGAGCATCAGCCAATCACCTTCCTTGAACTTGGCTTGAAGTTCTGGTTTCCACTTCGTTTGTCGTGATACTTCTTCTGCAACAGTTGAGCCCGCTCCACTCGTACCATGGCTAGTGCTCGAGCTTCCTTCAACTCCATCAATTGTTGTTGGCGAGACTTGATGACTTCTGCTCCATTTGATTTCTGCAACCTTTGCTGGATTGTCATGAAATTAGTCAAGTCAAATTGTATTGGGAGTTTTGACTCAACTCCATACACCATCCGAAAAGGTGAATATCCGGTAGATGTTTTCCAAGTCGTTCGATACTCACACAAGATAGCATGCGGAGATAGCAACGAGTTTGTGATAGCAAACTTAGATAGTTAGATAGCAACAAGTTTGTGGAGCATATTCACCGAGGACTACATCACGCCAAGGAGAAGTTGGTGATAGCTCAAAATCGGCAAAAGCAGCATGCCGATGCTCATCGTAGAGAAGTGGTTTTTGAGGTTGGAGATCACGTTTGGTTATCTACAACTAAATTGTCTCTTGTAGGAACACCAAAGTTGAACCCTAGGTTCATTGATCCATATTTGGTTTTGAAACGTGTTGGTGAAGTGTCATACAAGTTGGAACTTCCGTCACATATGAAAATACATCCAGTATTTCATGTGTCACGATTGCGAAAACATGTACCACGACCAAAACAATTCACCAACCAACCAGCACCACCTCCTCTTTCAACCTTGATAGCAAATCATGAGGAGTATGAGGTTGAAAAGATAGTCAAGAAACGTAT